CAAAAGCATTGTTGTGCTGAATATGGATGGATGTTATGGAAATGGAATTGTGTTAGCAGGGTGGATTTGATTTAAATCGAGTCGATTTAAATCATGATTTAAATCATGATTTAAATCACTAGTAGAAAGACTTGATTTAAATCAACTCGATTTAAATCATAATTTTTAAAGAGCAACTGTCATCTCTGCTACTCCTTTGACCCGCTGTTGACTCACCGATAGTCCCAGTGTTGCAGAATATACAGCCTTGTGCTACATAACTAAGCTCCATTTCATGCTGAATAAACTAAATTATTTATGTATCTTAAATAGAAAACTATCTTACGATAGATTTTTACCCCCAAAGTTTTTTATTAAAATAAATTCAATAAAAATAAAAAAAATCTGATTTAAATAAAAAAATCCGATTTAAATCAAAAAAATCAGATTTAAATTTAAAAAATTGATTTTTTGATTTTTTTAAAAAAAAATAATTGACTTTTATCCACCCTGCGTGTTAGCAAAGAAAATATTTTTTAGAATTAATTTTTATTAAGTCAATGTTCTACAGTATAAAAGCACTTCAAATTTGGGGATTCAGGGGGTGGGGGTGGGGAAGAGAACAAAAATAAAGAAAAGGGCTGAGTAAATAAGGCAGGAAGAGTGAAGACAGAGTTAACATGGTTCTTACACATCATTTGCTCTGTGAATATTGATAAAACGTAATCACAGCAACTGTGTGTCAGTGATAAAGACATCCTTCAGCTCCGTTTCTGTGCCTGCCGCCAGAACTGCAAAATGTCATGGAAAACTTCCTCTCTAAGTTGCTTTCAAAATAAAATCCTTAACTGCTCTCTTCTCCCCTTCTCTAAAGGTGGTGGTCTTCTTCTTCTTCTTCTTCTTCTTCTTCTTCTTCTTCTTCTTCTTCTTCTTCTTCTTCTTCTTCTTCTTCTTCATTCTCCTCCACCTCCTCCTTCATCCTCCTCCCAGTTTTCCCTCACTGTTTCCTCCTTCTCTTCCTCCAAATTCCATTTTGGCTGCAAATTTCCCTGTACAGTCAACAGGGTGGATTTGATTTAAATCAAGTCGATTTAAATCATGATTTAAATCACTAGTAAAAAGACTTGATTTAAATCAACTCGATTTAAATCATAATTTTTAAAGAGCAACTGTCATCTCTGCTACTCCTTTGACCCGCTGTTGACTCACCGATAGTCCCAATGTTGCAGAATATATAGCCTTGTGCTACATAACTAAGCTCCATTTCATGCTGAATAAACTAAATTATTTATGTATCTTAAATAGAAAACTATCTTAACGATAGATTTTTACCCCAAAAGTTTTTTATTAAAATAAATTCAATAAAAATAAAAAAAAATCCGATTTAAATCAAAAAAATCCGATTTAAATTAAAAAAAATCCAATTTTTTTGATTTTTTTAAAAAAAATCATTGATTTTTATCCACCCTGACAGTCAAGCATGTTCAGGCCAAGCTCTGGCACAAATAATATACCTGAAATTTTCCTTTGCTGCAGACTATAGGGGTGGGGATGCTGAAGAACCCGACTCAAGAAAACATTGAAAAGCTTCTGGTGCCAGCAGAAATGAGAGGCTGTTCTATTCTTTTAATTCTAGTGGCATCCGAAACCTTTAGTAATGGCATGCCATCAATTAAGAAGGGGGGAAATAGAAAATAAAAGGACACATAGGACTAAAGATATGGATTGCCAACTCCTGGAAAGATAGATGAGAATCTTGCTAGAATGTAAGAAGAGAAGTCATTGCCTATTTCTTCCCACCTTCCTCAAAATTAATCCTTCCTCAGAAAAAGGTAAACATAGAATTATATAATGCGAAAGGGCCATTTAAGGCAGGGGTCCCCAGGCTACAGCCCACTACTATTTACAACCGGCCAGCCAGATTCACTGAACAACATATTCTTAACTTAATAACCTCAGTGATTCACTTAACAACTGTGGCAAGAACAGTTGTAAAATGGGGCAAAACTCACCTAACAAATGTTTCACTTAGCAACAGGAATTTTGGGCTCAATCTGGTCGTAAATTGAGGACTTCCTGTATTGTGTTTTTATCTTTTTTTTATTGTTTGTTTTGTTTTTATTGCTTGTAAGCCACCCAGAGTCGCTGTGAGCGAGTAGGAGGCTACATAAATTTTCTAAATAAATTAAACAGCTCCCTTTTGATAAAATGAAAAGAAGATTTCCCTGGTTAATGCTGAATTATGGCACCTTTGCATTTCTTAAATCCAAGAAATCCACTCATTTTACATTTTAAATAAAATCATTTTAAAATCTGAACTTGGTGAAAATTAGGCAGATGTATGGGAAGGAAATGGTTTATCTGAATCAAACTTGATGGCATGCATTCGATACAACTTTCTGGCGTGTCCTTATGCACCATCCATAACACTATTGTTATTTCCATTGATTTTATAAATTTTGTTGCAGATAGTCCTCATTTAGCAACCACAATTACAACTGGCAATTCGGTTGTTAAGCAAAGTGTGCGCTAAGTGAAACTGCTACTGTGCTTAGCATCTTACTTCAGCTTTCAGCTGTCTTTACAGGAACTGAAAAAGTTGTAAATGCGAGGATGGGCCCCACGCTTACTTTTTCATCACTGTCAAAACTGCAAACAGTTGCTAAACAAGAACTACCTCTACAGGTAGCCCTTGACTTACAACAGTTCATTTAGTGACTGTTCAAAGATACGACAGTGCTGAAGAAAGGGACATGACGGTTTTTCACATTTACGACCATTAGAGCATCCCCATGGTCATGAAAGAATGAAATTGTTGGAAATGAGGAACTGACAGTAATGTACACAGGAGTTTAGGGAAAATGACAATTAGTGAAGTTGTGAAGTTGTGTATGTGGTTAGAAGAAAAGTATCAAGGATAGGGTTTGAGATCAGCTTGGGGCCCTTTGATTTATAGCAGCCCTTGTAGGATCTGCTATATGTCATTGGACCCCATTGCAATGGCTTGTTAATGCAAGTGTATTACTGCTATTATATCTTTCATATCCATTCATTTCTTACGTTCCAAATTATTAGAAACAATAAACCTCTGATCTTAAATTAAGGATTATTGCTTGTGTTGTTGTCTTTGTTTCCTATTGTAATGGAGCCACAACACCTATTGGAATTTTCCTATGACAGCCTCAAGGTTGACTCAGCCTTCCATCCTTCCGAGGTGGGTTAAAGTGCGGACCCAACTTGTTGAGGGCAATAGGCTGACTCTGTAAACCACTTAGAAAGGGCTGTAAAGCCCTGTAAAGCGGTATATAAATCTAAGTACTATATAATTAAAGATTAGACAACTCCCTCCTTGTCACAGGTCACGTTGTCCAATTAGGTGTTCTGGTGTCTCCTCAGTAACCTCTTCCAGTCTCTGGCCAGCACCTGTTGGGATGATCTTGGTTCCCATGAGTTAGTAACTTGTTGATGTCTGGTCTGATATTCCAAAACTCCCTCCTTCCCCCTCCCCCCCCCAAGTGTGTCAAGTTGAGAAATGGAGAAAATGGCTGCCAAAAGGCCCGATCGTTTCGAAGTTGACACACATCCTCCAAGTTATTTTTACATGACTGTTAGAAGGCCATCCATAGTGCAGAGTGTAGGAGGACGGTGTTCGAAGCTGCATATAACTATGATCGTATCACAGCTCTGGTGATAGATTTGCATGGATTACTATTACTAAAAGATTGGTTTGATCAAGCATGACTCGGGCTCATTATAGGCCAGTGATGGCTAACCTTTTTGGTGTCGTGTGCCAAAAGCGGGGGGGGAGCAGGGAGGTCGTGAGCGTGTGTGCCTACACCCATAATTCAATGTGCCCCACTCCCCCGTGCGTGCTCCCCCCGCTTTTGGTATGCGGTGGGCCCGGTAGGCCCGTTTTTTGCCCTCCCCAGGCTCCACTGTGCTACCAAGGCTGTTTCGCTTAGCAGCAGAAATTTTTGGGCTCAATTGTGGTCGTAAATCAAGGACTACCTGGAACGAGCTGAACTTTGGCTAGATTATTCTATGTCTTTCTTGGGCTAAGCCTGATTAATGACTATGCTTAATATGTCTCTTTCAACATCCCCATCAAAGGAGTATCCCCGCCTTCCAAGGTGGTGCCAGAAAATTCTTCCTGATGTCCACTCTGGTTAAACTTGCTGTTCCTTATCCTGTTTTCTAGAATCATTCTGAACAATTCTGCCCTGTCTTTTAATGACAGCCCTTCACATATTTGAAAACAGCTAGCAAACTTCCCATCTCCAGGCTAGGCACACCTATTAGTTGTATATTTTTTGCTACAGGCCCCTGATTCTCTGAAATGTTCTCCTTTATGCGTGTTCAGCCAAAATGCAGTGCCCATAATTGGATGCAATTGCATAGGCACAGCCTAATCAGCATAGAAAAGGGAGAAATTATGAGTTATATTTATCTGTAACTTTACAAGGTTATAAAAAGGATTTAATATTATCCTATCATTACCGTACCTCTAATCCCAGCTCATGCATTTCTCTGGAATCCTTTGATTGGCCACTGTTGGAAATTTCTTGGAATTGGAAACACCTTTATTCTAAGCTACCACGACTGGGTATATGCAGTAAATATTTGGCTAAGCAGGAAGAGGGGAATAGATAAATTGCTGTTGGCAATCCTCAGAATATATAAGGAGTTTTGACTTTTACTTATGGAGGTAAAATTGAAACAAGGCAACCTTAGCTTAGGGAACTTTCACAGCGGAAGTTTGCGTGTGTGAGTGTGGGGAGGGAGGGAGAGAGAGAGAGAGAGAGAGAGAGAGGAATCCAAAATTCTATGTTCATCTTGCTGAATTCTAGGCAATCCAACTATTAACTAATCTACAACAGTGCTCAGATTGTGAATCTGGGGATCTATTGCATAGCTACATTCATATCATGGTTAACATCTGGTTTTGTGCAATGCCTCAAGGGTGAACCAGATCTGTACAAAACACTAACCCATAAAAATACACCAACTTTTGCATCCTCAAATGCAATTAATCATTCCTTGACAAGCTTACATGAATCTAAAAACTACCTTGCAGGATTCAGATGCAGGGAAGGGCGTCTTGTGTCCACTTAAACTAAGAGTCAATCCCATTGAAGTCAGTGGGTCTTTCTTTCAGGAAATGCTGTTGAGAGCATAAATCAGCATTAGCTAGGACTTCTGCCCTGTAACATTACAAGGTTGGATCTTTTTGCAATTCTCTCCTCCTTTACCCTAAGTCCACCTGATCCAAATTTCTGCTTGTGAATCTCCTCCTTCTGTATTATTTTCGTGATCTCCAGGTGCTTAAATGCAATCCATTTTTAGCAAACATATGACGCTAAGAAGGCTTAGAAGCAAAAAGAAAAAGAAAGAAGGGAAGGATTTATCAGCTGCATGATGAATTAATCATCCCATTAGTCACAGATGGCAGGAACTGGCCAAGGTCTTTGGAAGCATCTCTTCCAAGTTGCTTAAAAGTTCCAAGGCCCAACCTCTGTAACTATTTTAGGTCAGAACAGAATGAGTGCCAAGCAGTTCTCCTTTTGCGTTTCTATTTCAAAACAGGGTCACCTTTATTTACCAGAAGGTTTCAGCTTCATAAGTCTCATCTCAAAACGGAGACGGACTGTTGCCCAATCTGCCCAGGAAGAAGAGACAAATGGAAGCTAAGAATGGTGTAGGGCAGGAGTGTCCAATCTTAGCAACTTGTGGATTTCAACTCCCAGAATTTCGTCTTCTTGGACTCCGGAAGTATAAAGCAGATGCTGCAGTTGACTTCCATTATAAGATCCATATGTAGCTGGGTAATGTTGGGCAGCTAAAGACAATCTCAAGATTGTAGGAATCCAGATCATCATTTCTCAATTTTAGCAAATTTAAGATGGGTGGACGTCAGCTCCCAGAATTCCCCAGCCAGCATGCCACAGATCTTAAAGATGCTGAGGTTGAGAAACACTGTTTTACCAATAAAGGAGAATATTTGTAGCTCAGGGTTGAAATGAGTGGTCCTCGGTGCTCTCTGAACTTGGTTGTTTCCTTGTAGACATTTCATACTAACACTGATGATGTTACCTAGTTTGGGTAATGAAATGTCTCGGAGAGCATCAAGGATCCCTCAAACACTGCTTTAGATGACAAAACAGAGGCAGAAGTAACTCCTCATACAGCTCTGGAAGGATGGATTAGTTTTAGTGTCCACAGACTATCCTATAAACATATCTGGATCTTGGTCCTACCACAAGTTTTGGGTTGAGAATTTGCCTAATCGTGCTCCAGAAAGCTTACAAATAATATCTCTTACCATAATATCTGCCATGGTTATTTTACCTTCTCTCCTTCCTCTTTTCTATTAGGAAGCTTCTCAAAGATTGTTGCGATCCAAGCCATCTCTTTGCAATGACGAAACAAAATTCTCCGGTGGGAAAGAGAGTCTGGTACGATGGCGAATTTCTGTACTACAACACAATTGACAACGAAACCTTCTCACTGTTTCCAAAGGTTAGTGACCTGGATTACTCTTGTTGCAAAAAGCCAGTTTTGCTTTTCCCAATATGCTCTGTCAACATGTAACAATAGCTTGTTGAATACATCACTGTTGTCAGGACTGCACATCATGGCTTAAATAAGTTGCTGAGTATTAAGATTAGATTAGATTGTTAGTTGGAAGGGACCTTGTAGGTTATCTAGTCCAACCCCCCGGCCAAGCAGGAGACCCTACCCCATTTCTGACAAATGGCAGTCTAGTCTCTTCTTGAAAGCCTCCAGTGATGAAGCTCCCACAACTTCCAAAGGCAACTTCTGTTCCATTGGTTGATTGTTCTCACTGTCAGAAAATTTCTCCTTATTTCTAGGTTTCCATCCATTATTCCTTGTCTGGCCTTCAGGTGCCTTGGAAAATAGGTTGACTCCTTCCTGTGGCAGAGTAATTATGAGTAAATCATAACTGGTATCGCAGTGTACTTAATAAAACATCCGCATTGGATGGTTTCAAACCGAACCAAATGTCGGGCTCCAAAAATCAAGGAAGACATGCTGTCTTTCTTCTAAGCAGCTTGTTTTATTGTTCTTCATGTACAGAGAAAAAATATTGCCAAACTAAAGCAAACTACTGATAGCTAAATCTGGCCCCAGATTCTGCCTCAATTTACCTTCCCAATTAAGTAACTGAGTCAAAAGATCATTAAAAGCAGTTTATTAGGGTACCCCAGGGGTGAAATTCAGCAGGTTCTGACAGGTTCTGGTGAACTGGTAGCGGAAATTTTGAGTAGTTTGGAGAACCGGCAAATACCACCTCTGGCTGGCCCCAGAGTGGGGTGGGAATGGAGATTTTGCAGTATCCTTTCCCCAGGAGTGGGGAGGGAATGGGGATTTTGCAGTATCCTTTCCCTGCCACGCCCACCAAGCCACACCACCTGTAGTTAAAAAAAATGAATTCCACCACGGGGATATCCTGATAAAGTGGGATCTCTCTATGAAAAAGGAGAGAGAGAACCCCAAGACCCATGTTTCACTCCTTTTTATAGTTAACAACAACAAAATGCAAGAGGAAAGTTGATTGAATGGGATAAAAATATCCTCTCCTTTGCATAGAAAATCAATTCCATGTAGTCAAACGTGTTAGATACTTGCATCCCATAAAATCACACATGTTCAGTGAAATGAGGTCTGACAGAAGGGGAGTAAATTGTAAGGAAAAAGGTTGTTTGGAGTTCACAAAAGAGATAAACCAGAGGCCAGTTTGTACTAACAAACTTTTTCTTATCTGGAGACTTACTCCAGCCTGTTTTATCAAATTAGGAATGCTAAAAGCTAATAAATCTGAACTTCATTTTAAAAGAGAGAAAATAAATCAAATCGAAATACAAAGTAATTACGTTAGTTAGCAATTTACAAAATCCATGGCATTACTTATACCGGTACTATTAAAGATAGCATGCTTATCGTATTTTTCAGAATATAAAACACACATTAGCTTTAGAAGAGGAAAACAAGGAAAAAAAAAAACCTGCCTCTGCCTCCCAGCATCCATCCGGTATTCATCTGGCTACCATCCTTGCAGCAAACAATCTGGTCAGCTTAAGCACATTGTCACAGCCCCAGCATGTGGCTCGTCAGGGCTCTGCTCCGTTGCGCCCACCACCGGTCAACTGAGCTGAGCTGCTGCCACCACCAGGGAACATTGGAGTCTTTGGAGCCGAGCAGCTGATTGGCTGTTGGATTTGCTTCCCGGAACACCACCAATCAGCTGTTCTAGGTGGCAGGGATCACCGCCACCCATTTGCCGGCAAACGGGCGGCGGCAATGACAGGCGGCAGCAATCCCGCCGCCTAGAACAACTAATTGGTGCCGCACCAACCCCCTCTCCGCCGCAATATTCGCTCTATAAGACACACCATCATTTCCACCCACTTTTTGGGAGGGGGGGGAAATGCGTCTTACAGTCTGAAAAATATGGTATACTGTTCACTACTTATACTATTAAAGATAAACTGTCAGAACTTCTAAGGAAGAGCCTTCTTAACTCTTTTCCTCTCAACCAACTATCTAAATTTCAATGTTTTGTGCTCCTTTGGAATGCAGCTCTTCACTCTTGGGAATCTAGACTACATTCTACCACACCGAAATCAGTAAATAAATACAGGTAGTTCTCCACTTATCACCACAGTTGAGCCCAAAATTTCCCTTGCTAAACAAGGCAGGTGAGTTGTGCCCCATTTTTACGGCCTTTTTTTTTTTTTTTGCCATGGTTGTTAAATAAATCACCACTGTTGTTAAGTGAGTCATGCAGTCGTTAAAGCACACCTGGCTTCTCCCATTGACTTTGCTTGTCAGAAACTCCCTAGGAAAGTTGCAGATGACAATCCCATCGTAACTTAATGTGCTGGTTGCCCAGCTCCTGAACAAATGTCTCGCTTAACAACAGAAATTTTGGGCTCAGTTGTGGTCGTAACTCGAGGACTACCTGTACTTACCCTTTGAAGTCATACTACTGTTAGATGGGTTGGTGCTATTACTGTCATACCGTAGATCAGGGGTGTCAAACTCAATTTCATTGAGGGCCGTATTAGGGTTATGTTTGACCTTGGGGGGGTGTGTGGCTGGGGTGGGGGACATGGTCAGCTCAATGTCACTGGGACACCTGTGCATTCCGCCAGTGAAAACGGGCTCCTGAGCTCTGTTTTCAGCTGCGGCCATCCCGAGCTCCATTTTCGTTGGCCGAGGCACCGTGGGCCGGTCCCTCGCTGTTTCCAGGGCAACCCTGTGGGCCATTTCTAAGCATCCTACTGGCCGGATCCAGCCCCCGGCCTTGAGTTTTTAGTTTTTTTTAAAAAATTTGATTTATATGCCACCCTTCTCCGGAGACTCAGGGCGGCTTACAATATGCTCAGCAATAGCCTTCATCCTTTTGTATATTTATACAAAGTCAGCTTATTGCCCCCACAAACTGGATCCTCAATTTACCTACCTTAGAAAGGATGGAAGGCTGAGTCAACCTTGAGCCTTGGCGAGATTCGAACCTACAGTAATTGCAGGCAGCTGGTCTTAATAACAGGGTGCTTTAGACCACTGTACTACCAAGGCTCTGTTTGACACCTCTGCTGTAAAAGGTTGGTAGAATAAAAGTTATCAAAGCATGAAAACATTTAAATGTAAGTAAGTGGACAAGGGACCATTTACCGAATTGAAAAAGATGGAAGAACGACAGTCTTTTGTCTATAGCAAGCATGCACATAAAAAAATCACACAAACACAGACACAAATTCCCTTCTGCCCTCCATCTTTTGTTCCCAATGAGTAACTGACCACATCGTTCTGCCACATTCAGCTATGTAGGTTTAATCATCCATAGCGATAGGATACTAGGAAGGACTATGCCAAGTAGAGATTAATAATGAGTGATTCATGACTGTGTTCTCACAAGGTCAGTACAATTCTGTTTCAGAATCCCGAGTGCTGTTGTGATTATTTTCCTTAAGTGCTATGGGAAAAAATATCTGGGTTGTGTGAGAAGGTTTCACGGGACCATGAGAAATTGGTAGTTTCAGTTTGGAGAAGGCTAAAATTTTCTCAGCCCCATGGTGTAGGCCAGACCAAAAAATCCACTCCAACAGAAGGCTAAAATTTTGTTAATATTGACTATAATATTTAGCACTAGCACCTAGAGCCGCAATGGCGAACCTATGGCATGCGTGCCAGAGGTGGCATGCAGAGTCCTCTGCGGGCATGTGTGCCATCACCAGCTCTTCTGGTTTCCAGCGCCCACATGAGCTCTGGCCAGCTGGTCTTCGCAGGTGCCAGAGCACCAGAAAACAGCCGAAAAATGGCTTGAAAAACAGCCTGAAAACAGGCATGTACATTCCTGCCAGCTGGTTTTCGGGTTTCCAGAGCTCCGGTACATACACACGCATTCCGGTTTGGGCACTCGGTGCCAAAAAGGTTCGCCATCACTGACCTGGAAACTTATACAGCACTTTATAGTGCATTATAAAGAGCCTTGGTGGCGCAGCAGACTAAAGTGCTGTTAAGTAGCACCAGCTGCCTGCAATTACTGCAAGTTCGAATCTCACCAGGCTCAAGGTTGACTCAGCCTTCCATCCTTTCGAGGTAGGTAAAATGAGGACCCAGATTGTGGGGGCAATAAGCTGACTTTGTTTAAAAAAGAACAGCGCTGGGGGGGGCTAAAAGCCCTACTAAGCAGGTATATACAAAAGTATGAAGGCTATTGCTTAATACATTGTAAGCCGCCCTGAATCTCCGGTAAAGGGCAGCATATAAATCGAACCAATAAAATAAATAAATAAATAAATAAATAAATAAATAAATAACCCTCTCTAAGCAGTTTACAGAATCAGCCTATTGCCCCCAACAATCTGACTCCTCATTTTTACCAACCTCGGAAGGACGGAAGGCTGAGTCAATCTTGAGCCTGGTGAGAATCAAACTGTTGTCAGTTGGCAGAATTAGCCTGCGATACTTTATTCCAATCACTGGGCAGCCACCACTATAATAACAATCGTTCAAGTCTAATTGTGCTTTACCCCCCACCCCCTTAGGCTCATGTGAATTAGGGAGTTGTCTGCCTGACAATTTGCATGTGCCTTTCTTTTGTTTTGGACTTAAACTATATGTTTTTCCTTGTCACTTTAATCGCTGATCTTAGCTTGTCTCTGTCAAGGCCATCTTCCTCACTCTCTACACATTCCATAGTTGAGTTCCTTTCTTTCATGCTGCTATTATTACTGCCGTTTAGTCCTGTTCCCTCTTCTTGTGACATAATTGGCCAGAAAGAGGAGAGTAAAAAAGGACATCCCTTTGCCAGTTCAGTTTAAGGTGTATGGGTGGACACAAGTAGACAATAAAAAGACATTCTTATACTTGGAGAAATATAGACATTCATAGCGTCCTTGACAAATGGGGGCTAGCAGTTCGTTTGTAAATGAGCCTTATATGGCCACCGCTCTTATGTGTCCTAACTTTGCGTGATTCACAGCAGCAGA